GGAAGCTCCCAGGGGCTCCACTGGCCCCTCCCACTCCCCCGCGCCCTTCCCACATCACTTATCGGGGAAGCCAAGCCCAGAGCTGCTGCTGGGAGCTGCAGAGTTAGTTCCACTTGAGCACAGGGGCGGCCAGACCATGCCCCCAGCTCCCTCTCCCCCCGGGACCTCGGTGTCCCTGACACCCCCGCAGCCAGGCCAAGAGTTTCCTCCTTATCGAGGGCTTGGGGCTGCGATGTGCCAGTTCTGGAGGGCAACAGCCGGATGGCGTGGGCAGAGGCTGCCACCCACCCCCGTCCTGGGCCAGGGTCACCCGAGGCTCCACCTGCTCATTTCCTCCGCTCTGCTGTGGGCAGGGAGGCAGGCGGGGCCGCCCACATAGCCAGCCTGGCAGCTCAGGGCCTGGAGGGACATGTGCGTAGATGTCTGCTCACCGTGCGGGTGGCCTGTGCGTGCATGTTGGTGTGTCTGTGGTATCCCTGCCTCAGTGCCAAGTCCTGTAACCTGCCTCCTCCCGGGACCTGGCCTCCCTCTGGGCCTCAGTCCTCATGTCTGTGAAGTGGGTGAAGGGGGAGTGGGGATGGCTCCAGGGCTCCCCCCAGGCTGAGGGGCTTTGGGGATGTGCCTCGCTGGGGTCCCAAGTCCTGGCCTGACCACAGCCCCGCCATCTGACAGCCAAAGGGGAAGGAGAGCTGGTGAAAGGTCAAGTGCAGAGGCTGCACGACGTCTGGGGCCACAGAGTCCAAGCTCCACTTCCCCGGAAGGACCTCCTTCCTCCTGAGCCTGGAGTGACTGACAGCAGGCTCTGGGAGGAGGGGCTTCCCCCCTGACCCCCAGCCTCTCCTCTGGCCTCAGGTGAGGGAGATCCTGGGCCACTGCACCTGCCCGGACCAGTTCCCCATGATCAAGGTCTCCGAGGGCAAGTACCGCGTCGGAGACTCCAGCCTGCTCATCTTCGTGCGGGTGAGAGAGGGGCTGCCTGCAGCAGCCGCCCCAGGGCTGGGCTCCGAGGCCCCCGGGACAGGCTGTGACCGGCCCTTGGCGGCTCCCACAGGTGCTGAGGAGCCACGTGATGGTACGCGTGGGTGGCGGCTGGGACACGCTGGAGCACTACCTGGACAAGCACGACCCTTGCCGCTGCTCCTCCACCGGTTGGTGCCCTCGGCCGGGCAGGCGGGCAGGGGGCTCCTCTCTGTGGCTCCACCCCTCACATGCCGCCTGTCTGCCCCCCTGCAGCGCACCGCCCGCCCCCGCCGAGGACCCAAACGTTCTCCCCGCAGAGGGTGTCACCCACTCCCAGCCCCCGAGCGGGCAGCCCAGCCCCAGGGGGTGAGCGGAGAGGCTCCCGGCCAGAGGTGATGCCCATGAGCTCACGAAGCGCCAAGGAGGGGCCCGAGACCCCACTCAGGTGAGAGGCAGGAGGACATGGAGGTGAGAGGTCTAGAAGGCGGGGATGGGGGTGGGAGCGTCAGCCCCGGCCAGGATGATGCAGGAGCCTGTGACTCACACCCTGGGAATAGTTCCCGTGGGTGGGGGCAGGCCTAGCTTCCCGTCTCCATGGCAACCCAACCAAACTAACAACACAGCTGGGGCGGGCCCTGGGGCTGGGTGGCAGCCAGTTCAACCAACCCTGCTTCCCTCCGGCCTGGCCCAGGAAACAGGAGGGCTGGAGCTTAGGGCCCGGGAGGCCTTGCTTCTTCCGCTGCCTTGGGGTTGGGGGGAGGGGGAGGAGCAGGGGAGCGCTGGCTGCAGGAAGCGGCTGCAGAGCCTCACTTCTCCCTGGAAGTCCCCAGGACAGACACGAACCCCCACCAAACCCCGCAGCACCACAGGTGTCTTCCCACCTCCTACCGACCACAGGCGTGCTTCTTCCTCTCCCTGCCCTTCCTGCTCGCCAGTCCTCTTTCCATGACGCCCCGTCTCTCTTGTTCCCCCGCCCCAGGGCCCGGGATCAGCTGCCCCCGCATCCCCGCTCCCGACGCTACTCTGGGGACAGCGACTCTTCAGCCTCCTCCGCCCAGAGCGGCCCCCTTGGTGCCCGAGG